TGGTGAGCATACATCTCCCTGTTTTATAACTCACCTTATGTTTATGGTCAGAGCATCACTAAACAGGATTCTTTCCATTGATATATTTTTCAAGGATCTGAATAGTTTTGATGGATGGATTGTAGATACGTTGTTGTAAAAACATATAATGCAGAATTTAGCTATAGCTAACTAGTTTTTTTCATAATCAACAAACAATAAGTGTAAAGGGATTGCGTATTCCCTACATCTTAATTTTAAAATAGCAAAGACAAGATCCATAATAATGAATAAAATATCACTTGCAAAGCCTGCTTGTTCCATACTGATACCATCATCATGGATGCCTTAGATTCACTTAGAGATGACTCTCACAAAAATTTTATTTTGTGAATGGGAAAGTAGACATAGGGGTAGGTAATTATTGACATTTTATCAGTCAGGTTTTTTGCTATTAAGTTCCAATCTTTTTTCCACACTCTGGTATCTTCTCCTGATACACATATGAATTGAATTTCATACATTGATATTATTGGAAGAACCTGCCAATTGATGCATGATTTAAAGGAAAATCAATACTAGGCATAGACTGGTAAATCAATCTATCAACAGTTTATTAAATGTCTTTTATGTTCCAGACACTTACTACCATCTAGTGATAATCTATATGACTTTCATATCTCCCTGATAGGCTGAGAGTTATGTGAACTGTTTCTGCCCTGAACTCTATCTTCTACACCACTCTACAATGTGATCTGTACATTTAGTGTGCTTAATAGATTTATTAACTCAAAGTTTGCTTCAAGCAACCCTCTAAATTGACAAGTCACTGTAATTTTCAGTTTAACAGGTTTTTATTTTCCTAAGATGCATGTCCTTTTTTCATTCTGAATCTTTTAAATAATTTTTCACATAAGAGATCAATTATTAAATACAAATGATCTTTAATGCTTTTCTGAAATCTAACACTTTACATTTTCTAAGAGGCAAAATCTGTAACTAAGGGACAGCTGGTCAGACATGGAAACTGGGGATCACTGTCAGAACATGACTTTTCTTGGTGAAGAAAGATGTATGGGGAAAAGTTTGAGTTTCCTCAAAAATATCCCTTGGAATAGTATTTGGAAAATACCTTGGATAAGTATTTGTTTGGAAAAGCAAATACTAACCATTAGCATCTGTGTGAGCCTTTGTAGTTCTTTGTAGGTTCATCTTCCTGAGTTCAAATCTGGCCTTAGATACTTACTAGTTATGTGACCCTGGGCAAATCACTTAACCCTGCTTGCCTCAGTTTCCTTATCTGGAATCTTTTCCAAGAAACCCCTAAATGGGGTCACAAAGAGTTAGATATAACTGAAAATGACTGAACAAAAACAACTGGGTCTATGGGCAAGAGGGAAGAGGATGTGAAGTAAAAAAGAGAGACTTTCTTATCAAAAGGAGGCATTGGGGATAGAAGCACCAGCTTCAAGAATAAAAGAAGGTTAGAAGATTTGGGCAACACCAGATTAAAATACCAACATGAAGATATGAGTTAGTGAGCAAAAAAGAAAAAGCTAAGAGACTAACTCCATTCATAGTCTAACTCCACTCACATTCCAATAAGCGTCTACTTCAAGTACCTCTTTCCACTCCTCTCTTCCCAATGCCACTCTATTGAAAGACCTCATTGACATCTACTTAGATATTTGTCCTAGCCTCTTAACAAGTCATGCAGCCTACAATCCCTCCCTTCTCCATCCTATGTGTTACATATTAACACATGAATGTTTATGTATTGATCCAGTCATGTGTTTCCTCTCCTCAAAAGCCTGCATTGGCTCCCTATTGTCTACTCAGTAAATTTAAAACTACTTTGTCTATCATTTAATGTCCAATTCAATCTAGGGCCTCTTTACCTAAACAGAAAAGATCATAATCATAGGATTTATAATTAGGCTTAAAAAAAAGAGGAAGAGAAAAAAAGATGGAAAAAAAGTAGACTAAAATTAATCTATTCCAACCCCCTAATCTTAAACGTGATAAAACTAAGTACCAAAGAGATTAGAGGACTTGTCTTATTTAATATAAGTTGTAAGTGGCAGAATTGGGAACTAACCTCAGGTTTTTGACCCCAAAATATGTGATCTTCTCACTATATCTTTCATGTATATATATGTATATATTTATATATATGTATCATGTTTCCCACCATGAATGCTATATACTTTGTCTTCCTTATGTATCATTGTTCAGTTATGGTCTTTCTACTTTCCTATGCTGCATTCTGGATGATATTTTGAAACACTCTTAGGCTCTTATCACATTTTCTGCATTCTAATTCTTGTATATTTGTAGCATATGTATCATTTCTGCCCTGATCAATTGCTCCATGTTTGCAGGGACCATATCTAATGTTATTTTTTGTCTCCAAGTTTAAGAATAAGTTGCTTAAAAGATATGACCAAAGAAATATATGTTTAGAAAAGAAAGTGGGTCAGTCAAATAGTAAGAGCAAAGAATCATGGAGGAATAATTCAAGTGTTTCTCTGGTAACTATAGAATGTTAAGAGAGCTAAAAGGGATTTATAGGAGCACTTGGGCAAGAAAAATACAGGATAATATTAGGAGGTGTGGCTGAGATTTGATTTACATTGTGGGATATATTGATGGTGATAAATTGATAGAAAATAAATCTATTTAAGTGTATTCCTTTTAGTATCTAGAGCAGTGCTTCATACACAGTAGGTTTTTAATAAATGGTTATTGAATGAATGAATTAATGAATAGATGAACACAAATTAGGAATAATTTATGATACAAGACTTTTTGATACCTTTTAATTTTCTTCTTGTCTATTTACCTTCAGTTACGAAACAAATGGGTGAGGAAAGGAGAAATTATGAAACATCACTGTGTTTTCCATGGGGTCTGGGAGGAGAGGAAACTCTGGTAGAAGGAAAGGTGATAACAATCAGTACAGAGCAAAGTGAGTCAGTCTTTTGGGTTCTAGATCCAGAAAAAAACGGAGTGACAGAAGAACCAGGCCAAGATGGAGAATCGACTTGGGAGACGGTGTGTGAATGTGTTGGCATAAGACCCTGGGTGCCAACAGAAGCTATCTAAGATATATTTGGTGTTCTCATGTTCTTACAATGAGGACACTGGGGAGATAAAGATAACATAATGTGCTAACTCTGGAGAATGAACACAGAAAACAGAATAGAAAGCCCTTGGAGAGGAAAGGACTAATGAGCCCCTTTCTCTTTGGCTGCTGCCAAAGCAAAATTTTCACTATACCAACCCTTTAAATAGCTCCACTCTGCCCTACAGTGTTGGGCTGTGACACAGTGAGAAATGTATGTTATATTTCCCTTTGTCTCCTTCCTCATACCCCTCTCCTTGAGCCCAAACCTCTTATCTTTGAAGAGTTGCAGCTACCAGAGCTTTGGATAGTGAAAGATTATATAAAATGAATCTGCAGATGTGGTGTTGGAGTCTCCCTCTGGAGGTAAATGGGAGGTCAAGGAGTCTCTTACAAAGGTGAGTGGGGTTTATGTATCCTATACTGAAAAAGCTTCTTTCAGAATCTGGACCTGAGCTGGATCTCTGTCTTCTCTCTCCTGATCTCAAATCTAGCAGCCTAGAAATAGTAGAATTAAGGGGTATGCAGTCACTGTCTTTAAATAGATGATGGCTGCTATGTATATGCATCAACGTATATATTGACTTGATTTGGAGATCTTGTCATGTATACTAGAATTATCTTCACTGGTTTGTTTGTTGTTGTTTTTGCTTATTCTCATCATGAATAATTTAAGCTGGAATCACTAAGCGTCCCATAAAAAGATATGAAGAAATTGTTAGCCATTCTCTCATTTTTCTTTAATTTCCTTATATCTTCTGATTTTGTTGATGTTTTTTAGTTTTTTCTTTTTTCCCAGGATTATGTGAACTTACTGGAATGGGACATGGAATTAAAATTTATTTCATTTATACATATGCATTAATTAATAAGTTAATGCCTACACATAAATCAATGTTATACACCATCTAAAACCTGTG